CAAATATAAATTATTTATCTCATGAAATGGTTTACACATTGGCAACTTGCACCTCACTTTCTAATTATGCTTTTCTTCTAAAATACTCTACACCATCCTCGTTATATTATGGGGAAATACATCTAATTAGTCTATCTCTACCTGTCATTTTTTCTCAGCATTTACCAACACAGGATTACTGCAGCACTTTAGAAAGCGGAGGGTATGAGAGTGATTATAAACAGTACGTGTTCTGACTGTGTGATTGTGGACCATGTTAGTCCAAGCCGAGTGTCTCTATGTGTTACATGTACATGACTCTTCAAGCTTAAACACATACGTTCTTATAAATATGTGTGTAAGTTTATTGTGGGGAATGTAGAATACATTCTTACCACAGAAATAGTTTTTCATAAAAATGGAATTAGGACACCCCACAAATGATGTGGCATATTCATGGTTCTGGGCAGAGTTCTGGCCCTGGTCACAGCAATCTTGTATCCCAGGAGGAGAAGAGCTCAGGGGTCTCTTTACAAAGGATTTCAAACACAGCTGCACTTTTCACTATCCTTCATGCCTGGCTGCATTCTTCCCCATCCACAACGGAGGCCCCTCTCAGCAGTATCTGAACCAATGTGTCTGTGACCAAGCTGGCCAGACTGTCTCTTCCCAGAGATTCCCAGATCAGAAGAGGCTGACTTCTCTTTCTTCCAGTGAAGCCTCTTCTGACTTTAGCTTCCTCAGTAGAGTGTGTGAAGAATGCAGAATTAAACAGATCTGCACTGATGGATGAACTCTTTCCTCCTAAGAAATTTCCTTCTGGTTCCAAACTCAGAAATACTGTCAGTTGTTTTTCCTGAGGGTCAGTTCTAGCTTTATATCCTTTCTCCTCTTCTGAAGCTATATGGCCTCTAGGATGCACGTTTTGCAACCTGAGCAATGGCTGTGTTGTCCTCGGGGCTAAGGAGGAGGGTGGCAAGTGTCTGAGTCTGCCGGGACATACAAAAGCACACACTGTAGCTGGGAGTGAGCTGGGCTCTGGACTTTGGTGAGCACATTGGCAGCCTGGTTAGTTGTCATACTTCCACAGCAGTGGTTTGGGACCCTGCTACACAGTATATTCCCAAACACCTCTCCGACCTATTCAACTAGAATCTCTTTCAAGCATCTCTATGTTCAAAGTGTTTCCTGAGCCTAGCATTTTCTTTTGGAGGATTTTCACTCCTCCAACTGTTTATGGACACCTCTAATTAGAGGTTCCATTGGTGCTTCAAATCAAAGCTTCAAAAACAAACTAGGGAGGTGAGAGAAAAGGTCAACTTACTGAAGGAAATAAAGCAGAGAGAGAGAAAGTCAAATTCTTGCATGAACCTTGAGAAATACAATGTCAGGTGATTTCAGGAGGGAAGGGGAAAGAACCAAAGCTAAAATAGGAGACCTGGAGGCCCAAGCGGTAGAGTACCTGCCCATCAAGTACAAAGCCCTAAGTTCAAACCCTAGTATTCTCCAAAACTGAGACAGGAAACAGGCAGAACAAGAGGTTTCCCTGAAGTCAAAGAAGACACAGTTTCAGAGCAGGTTTTGGCAGCAATTCTAAAAGCTTCCAAAGGTCATTTGTTCTTCAAGATGTCTTTTTACCCTTTTGGCTTACCATAAAGTAATCTCTGGCTATTTTGCTATCATTCATTTAAGTAACCCAATAGCAGTGGGAAATAGAGATTTTAATTTCTTATATATCTCCCAGACTTAACTATATATAAAATCCTTTATTAGAACTGACTTTCCCCCATGATCAATACCTTCACCCAGCAATCATAATGATCTTGCTTCATTAACATTCCTCTGCTTAAATCCCTTCAACGATTTCTTTCCACTGCACTAAAAATAATACTCAAACTTCCAAAAGCCTACAAGACCCAGCATGGCTTGGTGGCCTCTTTACCTCCTCTCTATGCCACATGCCACACTGCACTCCTATCATGCCCTGGAACTCACCAAGCTTTTTCTTTCTTTCTTTTTAAACCTCTCCCCTAGCTCTTGTTCTGGTAACTCCTATTTTCCTGTGTGTATAAATTTGGAAGTTTCATTTATGATCTTCTGTGTAAAGCAGGCATCCTTTCTATAATACTTCTTTACTTACATCACATCAGTTATCACAACCTGTAATTATTCTAACTAGTTCTCTACCTTTTTTTTTTTTTTTTTTACTGTTTGTCTCTTCCATTAGAATAAAAGCTTCATAAGGAAGAGATTCGCCATTGTATCCTATATGTATGCATAGTACCTGGCATATAAAAATATTCAACAAATAACTGACTAGCTAAATTATCCAAAACAAGTGATTAATTTATTCATTCTTCCATGCACTCACTCACTCAAATATTTATTGAGTGGATATATGTGCCAGATGCTGGGGATACAGTAAGAGGATAAGATAGACAAAATATGAAAGTAACTTAGAACAAAAAAGGGGGGCGGGCAGTGATTATGTCTAGGAGTAACTGTGTGATTCTACAACTTGCTGACCTACAAGTGCATTTTTATTTTTGCTTATGGGACAGACATCGTCTCAGTAAACTGAGTGCCACCAAATGAGCAAGTAATATCACATATGCTTCTGGATAGAATCAAAGCACAGAGAGCAAAGAAGGAACTGGGGCAAGTGTACAAGAAAAATAAAGGAAAAGAGAAAGAGGTAGTTCTGTGATATTGCTAGTCTCTAAAAGCTGACAGAAGCTATTCTTTTCATTTAAAGCTTATAACAGAAGGAAAGATTAAAATCATAATAAATATTTAAAAACATAGCAAAACATATACATCCAACTGAGTGTGCTATTTCAGAGCAACCTCACAAAAAACACTGTATTTATTCTATTGATACAACTAATCCTGAAAACATTTATAAAACTCACCTTTTCAAATTGCAGTCAGAGACAATTTATTAAGCAGAGGGGAAAGAGAAAACATTTTATTCTGGTTTTGATCCCAAATGGTATTTCCCAGATTGGCTTCCTACTGTATTCCTTAATTTACTTTCATTGAACCTATTGAAGAAGGTTTTGGATATCAAATTTATTCTTAAAGAGTAAATATTCTTCAAATTGATGATAGTCTAAATTATGCATATTTAAGTTAATCCTTAGAGAAGAGTTCCAGAAACATTAGTAAAGATAGGATTGTCTCAATGACTACTGTAAGGAGACAACATTCATCTGAGCAAAGAGTTAAGCCTAATTAATCTGGCATCACTGGAAGTGAGGTGTCCTAGATAATACAAGAATTGCTGAGGGCTGGAGGTGTGGCTCAAGTGGTAGAGCACCTGTTTTGCAAATGTGAAGCCCTGAGTTCAAACCTCAGTCCCACCAAAAATAAAAAATAATTAAAAAAGAGTTGCTGAGATAATCAAGGTTTTAAACTAAAGACTTAAACTTCTAATTTATTTCATGATATCTTTTTGAAAATGTATAATCTTATTCCTTTCATATATAGTATATAACTGATTTTAATCTTTTTTAGACTCAGGGTCATCACTGTGGCCATTAGTTATTAACCCCTATTAAATACAGGGAGGACACTGTCAGACTTATTGATATGAACAGGGATATTGGTCTCTGTTGGATGGGCTAAAATTTTTCTTCACATATATAGTTCTTTGCTTATGCATACTTGATATTTAGCTGTTATTTAACAACTCTTATAAATTTTCTGGTTATGATATTGCTGCTTCTAATATCCTACAGACTGAGCAAGTCCATAATCATGAAATGTCAGGGAAGGGGGTGGAATGAGGAATCATGTAGGTATAAGGTTCACCATCTTTGCAAGCAGCAACTTATTGTTATCTCAGAATGAAGAAGAAAGGGTGAATGGCAATTCTTCATTTTATTCAAAGAGAAGTGGGTGTAAAATCACCCCAAGAAGGACCAGAGACAAGCTTTGTTTCTCTATGAACTACAGATGATCTCCTGCTAGCCTGGAGTAGAAACAGACATGATGTTGGCCTTGTTGGGGAGAATGAGTTCTGAAACAAATCTAATTACCTAATTATAAGCTGCTTGATACTCATTCCCTGGTCCCACACTCAGATACTCCCTCAGAAAACAGTTGCTTCATAAAGAATTAAAAAATATGAAATTTCTAAGTTATATTCTTTTATAAAATTAAGATAATAAATTCTTTAAAAAGATTAAAATGACAGAAAGAATGAAAAACAAATAGCACATGTGTTTTCTTTGCAGACAATAATTCAAAACAAAAATTTCTGTCTTTATAGAACTTGTGTTCTTCTAGAATATAAATTAGAACAATAAATGTAAAGACTCCCAGATTTTAAAAACTAACAAAACAAACAGTATTTGTGCTATATATCAACTATGCATTTAAAGCAAAAGGATTCAAAAAGAATGAGGAAAGACAAACTAGGAGAATGAAAACAAAAAGTAGGAAAGCAGAGCCGAGATGTTATTATAGATTAGGTTAATTTAAAAAATATACCATTGGAATAAAAATTCTTCATTCTTGGAAGAATGGAACAATACACTTCTCGGTATCCTTGATACCACCTAAGGAGGAATCTTTGCATATGGTAATCTCTCAAAAAGATGGACTGAAAAAGGAACAGTGAAGAAAAGTAGGAGCCAATAAAAAGGAAAAGTACAATAAAAAAGATATTTTTTCTGTAAAAATAATAGAATTCACAAATTGTTTGCTCAGGTAAAATAGGTAGTGCAAGTATTCACAAATAATCCGATTATTTTTAATAAAATCTGACACCAAATGCAATTTGAGTTCCATCTCTTCTTTCACTAACTGTGAGACTTTAAGTGAGTAACTTGATCCATGTGGGATTCAGTTTAATCACTTAAAAATGAGGTTAGGATGTGCAATGACCATGCAGGTTGAAATAGGTCTTTAGTGTTGTGATTTTACTGCTATTAACATGTAGGACATTGATGTTTCAAATACATGGAATGCTGACTTAGACAGAAAGTACTTTTGTAAGAAATGACTCTTGACTGCACCTTTCATTTTTCAGTGTCATAACCTCTTCCTTTGTCTGATTCAGAAGAGTTCTGGTTATCTCTAATTCATTTTCTGCAAGGTTAATTCTTCTTTTTATGTCTTCTTCTTGCCTTTCTTTTGCAGTCAGCTCTTCCTGTAAAGTTTTATATATTTGTTGACAAGTCATTAAAGAGTCTTCTTTTTCTTTAAGCAGCCTACTGTTCCTATAAAGGAATAGAAAAATAATCCCACCAGCATTCATCAGACACTATGTTTTTATATTTATATTATGATTTCATATTTATGGAAATATCATTTGAAATTAAAGACTATAACTGTAGCTTTAAAAAAGTTAAAAAGTTAAGAACACGGATAGTTCTGTAATGTTAACATATTTCCACCTAGGTAGAGGCAAAAGCAATGAAAAATTGCAAGACATTATAGATTTGAGTTAGACATTGCATATGTGAATATGAAAGTAAGAAAATAAGAAAAGTGACATACATTTTAAATAAAGTGATATTTCAAATATGGTTTCAAATTCAATAATTAAAAATATTAATTATAAAATTTGCACTGTATACCGTGACTCAGAAATAACGGATTCAAACTTCAGTTTTCTAAGTTCTCGTTGACAGTCACCAGCTTCATTAGATTTATTCCTAAAATAATGCAAAAGTGTTTCAAATTAGCTCCATATATTATTTCAAAATAGTTAAAGTATAAATGTTTTTCTATATAATTATTTTATCCATCCATAGAAAGAAATTATTAACACTTTCATACTATTATTTCTTTAAAGAAAAGAAATGAGCATTCAGTAGCTTATAATGGTGAAATTAGCTTCTATCAGACTGATATGTATTCAAATAAAGGGAAAAAACTTTGCACAGCACTAAAAAGCAAAAACAAAACAAAATCCTACCTAAAAGCACTGGGGATTCTAGAGCAAAGGTGGCACTTGGCCTGAGGTGACAGCATGCAGTTAGGTTGTTTTAAAATGATTTTAAGCTGAGGTCCCAGTATGCACTATGCAGGGGAAGTAAAATTCTGGTAGAAAACTCCAGTCTTTCTGGCCTGAAAAGTGAGGACAGTGTTTGGAGCAATCACAGCTGCTAGAAAGTGAAGGTGAACCTTGAATAGGAGAAAGCCAGTGACAGGGAATCCCAAAAATGCTTTCTTTTTTTTCTTTTTTTGGCAGTGTTGAGGATTGAATTTAGGGTCTTGCATTTGTTAGGCAAATGCTCTACCACACCCCTAGCCTTTTCTTATTTTTCAGATAGAGTATTATACTTTTTGCAAGGGTTAGCCTCAGACTGTGATACTTCTGCCTACGCATCCTGTGTAGCTGGGATTACAGGCGTGAGCAACCATGCCAACTCAAATATAAATTCTGCTAATTCCTGAACTACAAGTACACCAAGCAGATTCCATGTAGACTAGTTAAAGATAAAAGAACTGAACTGAGACTGAGCTACTGCCCTAGAGACAGGGTTTATAGTTTGAGGTCAACCAAGTTAATTACCTTCACAAAGCAACATTACCTGTACTACCAAAACCATTTTTTGGAGGAAAATATAAGAACCAGACACTTTACAACATAACATTCCTGATGTCCAGAATGTAGTAAAAATTATTTAACTTATAAAGAAACAAAAAACTGTGACTCATTCTCAAGTGAAAGATAGTAGAGACTGTCTGAAATGACTCAGATATTGAAATTAGGAAAGATTTTTGAAGACACAATTATAACTCTGTTCAAAGACATAAAGGAAAATCTGCTATAATTAATAAAAGCATGAGAAATTTTGGCAGAGAAGTAAATCCCATGCAAAGGAGCCAAATGAAAGATCTAAAACTGAAATAAACATCTGCCTTGATCTTATATTTGTTTAGGTCTTGGAGCAATACTCAAAATGTTAATACATTAAAATTAATATTCCAATTTAAATTTACACTGCTCATTAATAATGCTGTCATTTTCTGAATATACCTAAAAATAGCTTATGAACTGCTCTATGAAATGATTAGATTATAAATGGACCTGCATTACTTACAGAATGATTTTAATTTCTAATAAAAATCAACATAAACATAGACAACATTTATTTTTAACCTTTTTATTATAAAATAGAATAAACTGTAAGACACAGAAAGTGGCATAAATCAAATATATAATATGATGAATTGTTTATTATAAGGAGAACACTCGTATCTACCATCTAGGTAGAAAAATAAAACTTTCTCAGTTACTCTAATAGCCCTTCATGACGCTGCTCCCAGTCATTGCCAACTACCTCGTCCCTAACAGTAACCATTCTCAGGAATTTTATGGTAATCATTCTGATTATCTTTGGAGTTTTATCATCTAAGCTTCTTATTTTTTCTCCTAAATGCTATATTTTAATTTTGGTCTTATTTTAATGCCTTAAAAATATTCTATTTCCTCCATTGTTCCCTTTTGTAAAATGGTTCTATTAAGGTATCCCAAAAATACAGCACCCTAGCATGATGACAATTTTAAGTTAGGGACCCTTAGAAAGCAGCAGGCGCTGGAACAGACTTTCCTCTGACCTTCCTTTATCTGCTTAAAGGCTGAACCTAGCACAGAAGAAAATAATTGCCTTTGGTCTCTTCTTTGAATTTTCATTAACTAAACTCATGTTTGCAGGGAGGAAGATGAGAGAATGAAATGACACCTGGACAGATTTTGCCAAAAGAGTTCAATTCCCAAAGTTAATCATTTACCAACTACTGTCTGAGCTGGGGACCAATTCATTTACTTCAAATCATTTACTAACTCTCAAAATTTTCACCTTCTCAATCTCCCTCTTCCCTATGACCAAGGGTATATAAGCATGTGGAGCTCAAGCGATATAGGGCCATCACACAACCATGACAGTCCCCGAGCTCATTAGTGACTAAAATATTGCAGTTCATTCCAGCAAAGGAGGGACAAAGGACAAGCTTTCCCACTGCCCTTAAACCACTTACGTGGTTTTCCGGTTGAGGATCCCTATTCCCAATCCAATTGAGAGGCACTCAGGGTCAATGTAAAATGAGGAAAAAAATTTTAAATTTTATTTTATCGTTTTTACATTTATTTACATGTGCATATATTATTTGGGCCACACCTCCCCCTTCCTCCCCCATCCCAATTTTTATTTTTAAAAAGCATGAGGTGTTCTTTATTCTTTGAAAATGTCCAAGTCATAAAAAGACAAAGAAAATATGTGAAAATATTCCAGATTAAAGGCGCCTAAAGAGACACCCAGGCAGACTGTCCGGGGCTGGATCCTGTACTACAGGACAAAATGCTATAAAATACATCATTAGGTCAACTGACAAAATTGAAATATGGGTGGCAGATTAAAGTATTTTATGTAAATTTATGACACTGGTTACCCAACTCAGGTTATGTAAAAATATCATTGTCCTGAGGAAAGTATCTTGAGGTAAAAGGCCATGTTGTATGTAATTTATCCTCAAAGAACTGAGGAACCCCCCACCCCTTCTGTGTGTCTGTGTGTGTGTGTGTGTGTGTGTGTGTGTGTGTGTGTGTGTGTGTGTGTGGGTGAGAGAGAGAGAGAGAGAGAGAGAGAGAGAGAGAGAGAGAGAGAGAGAGAGGAGAAAAAAATTGCAAGAGAGAGAGAGAGAAAAAAGCAAATGGATTAAAATGTTAACAATAGGTAAGTCTGGGTAAATACTATTTGTGTGCGCTTTTTGAACTATTATTATTTTTATAATTCTTTGTAAGTTTAAAGTTATTTTCAAATAAAACATTAACAAAGAAGAATAAGGAAAAAATTAACACACCACTAGACAAGTGGGCAAAGAAGCTATGCCCACTTGTCACAAATGAAAGAATGAAAGGAGCCATAAACACAGGGGCATCATTCTTTATAATTTTTAAAGTTATAATACCCAATGTTAGTTAGGAAGTAGAGAAATATGTATTTACAAACACTATTGGGATTATAAATCAGTATAATCTTATTGGAGGGCAATTAAAAGCCTTAAAACATTCACATTTGATTCTAGCAAAATTTACCCGAGGAAATAATTGTATGTGAGTAGAAAGACCTATCTTTATGAATAATTTTCAAAGTATCTTACTTTAAAAGGTGAAATATTTGGACAGTCTAAAAACAAGAGATTAGTAAGTAAATTGTGGCTCATGCAGATTGAAATACAATGTAGCCATTTAGTAGTTATCCACAAACACACCATGCAATGATGTGAAAAAACATCTAGGATATACCACTGAGTGTAAAAAGTTTGCAGAACAGTATATAATGTATGATAATAATTATTAGTTGTTTAAAAATACTCATTACTTACAAAAATGGAGAAGGTTACATCAAGACAAAACCATAGCTTTTTTAAAAAATATATTCCTGTATTTTTCAAGTTTTACATATGTGCTTTGAAATCAAACAAAATGTTACTTCTAAAACCGCTTTGAGACTCAGCAGCCCCAACCATAACTTTCACTATTTGTTTAGACTCATACATGCTTCTCCAAATCCAAACTCCTTTTAGTGGTTATTTTAGGTAATCAATCTTGGCAGCAAAATATTGTTATTTTTTAATCCTGCTTGCTAGGGGTCCTACCATCCCCTGCCTTCATGGACACTTAGCCACTTTTCTTTGGTCTACACTTCAATTCCTGATTGTTATCTTCACTTTCATTAGGATTGGAAGAATTGGAAGGCATAGAAAGAATGCCTGCATCTCTTTAAACACTGCATTCCTTCTTTTACTCTCAGCAAACAGTGTTAATCTTTTTCTTCAAGTGCTGTGAATAAGGTGCCCACTGCTGCTGACAATTAAAGCAAAGGAAATAAGATGAAATAATTGGATATCTTCTCCTAATTTGGAAAGTGATGGTCCATATTATTCCACTCTTACATGAAATGGCCATTCTTAAACTGTTTTCTTGATATTTCCACTGTGCTGTCTAAAAGGGATCTCAACTCCAACAGATCAAAAGCACTGTTCTTGATTCCTTCCATATCTCTTTTTTCACAGATTTTCCCACTTCAATAAATGCACTCAACACAATAACAATAATATGTAACACCTTATATATGCAGTCTTCCTTCATTATTAGCATTTTACAATGGAAAGAACTGAGAACAAATTAACTTGCCAAAGGTGACTACTAAGAAGTGGTGCTGGAATGTGAGTAGACTTTTAGTCACTGTACTCTAGGCCCTCTCAGTTGTTCTACCCTGATGCTGCAAAGCCTCAAGCCCTATTGTTTTTTCCTTTCACTTCCAGTCTCCTTCCTCTGCTGCCATATTTACTCCATGGGTAAATCCTGTCCGGCACACATTTCTCTTCATCTCCTCACTATGGCCTTGGGCTAAACCATAGTTACTTCCTCCTAGCATGAATGCCAGTCTCTCTGATTTCTTTTTACTCTCGCTCCAGTGCATTCTCTAAGTAGTAGCCACAGTGACCTTTGAAAATACAGATTGCTCTCTTGCCTAAAATCCCTCCACAGCTTCCCACTGCTCTCCAAATAAATCCAAAGTCATTGCTGAAACAAATGATTACAAACTTAAAGTGTTTTAAAGCAGCACAATGTATTATCTTATGATCTGGTGGTCAGAAGTCCTAAAATCAAGGTATTACTAGGGCTGTTCCCTCTGGGTCC